CTCCATCTAGTCAGTCTTGTGACGTTATTTTTCGCAGTATAGTAAAAAATATTAAAACTAATTTAAAAAAATCATTTGTCTTACAAATTATTTGGTCTGTTATCAGATAACAAAATTAATTGAAAATATTTCACCCCACACGGAGAAACATAAAATAATACATTATTTTTATTACTTTATCTTTTCATCAGTAAGAGAGTAATGGAATAGGACCATCACTAAACACATTAATGACATGAAGTAGCACTGCTATTTTACCAAGACTCTTAGCAACGGAAACCATGTTACATACCCTGGTATGCAAGATTCAAAACAGCCTGCAAGAAATACGCATTAAGTATGAAAGCAGATGACAGAAATTCAAAGATTTTTTAAAGCCCTCAGAGACACATTGGACATTTAAATTATACAAAAGGCTTCCAGGCTCACCTCATCTTTAATTCAGCGGCTCGGCACGTTTTGATGTTCTGTGAGAGCAAGGAGCAGAAGTTCTGATTTTTTCACACTGAATGTAGCCTTAGTGAATATTGCATCAGGGGTTAACAGAATACACTGCTCTACAGAATGTCAAAAATGTTTCACTCTAAAAATGATTTTATGAATGTAAAATGAATTCCTTATCATTCCTGATGAGATTTAACCAACACAATGTTAGACGATATGAATTGGTGTTGAAACATTTCTTAAGTTATTTTTACAGCAACACAAAGAGCAAAATGTACTTTGTGTCATTTACTCTTACAGATCAGCAGCACTGTGGAAAAATGTATTTCACAATTCCCAAATACATATTGACAATCCTTGCACTAAACTCCTAGTAAATCACAAGGAGATTAAAAGTTTAAGATACATGAAGCAAAGGAACAAAAAGCATCCATTTACAGCTCCTTAAAATGCATACTTTGTGGTTGCATACTTGTCTAAATATGAGTCTAAGTATTATAAACTATACTTACTATAGCGTACCTGCTGGCTGTTGAATGTTTTCCCCAAAGTCCATAATTATAGAATGTGACCAAATAAGACGTCAGCAGTATATAATTTGAACATAAAAAACCTATTCATAGGCCAGTGGAGTGGCCCTGTGGCTAAGGCTCTGTGGCTTGTGGCCGAAAGGCTTCCGGTTCATATCCTGTGGCTGGCAGAGGAATCCTACTCCTTAGGGCCCCTGAGCAAGGCCCTTAACCCCACCTGCTCCAGGGTTTTTTGTATTAATGGCTGACCCTTCCCACTGACCCCAAGCTTCTCTCCCTGTCTGTGTTGCATGGAGAGCAAGTTGGGGTATTTGAAAAGACAAATTCCTAATACAAGAAATTGTATGTGACCTTATCTCATTGCACAATTCTTTTAACTCTAAAAGAAATGCTGAGTCTTTTCAAGTATGCATCAACTTTTCAGTTATCCTCATATCATTTCAGCCATATCATCAAAAGCATGACATAAATTACATCTATCAAAATAATAGGAAACCAAAAAGGTTTGGCAATGTCATATTCGGTTCTTTCCCAGGCCTCAATTCATTGTAGTTCAGAATGATGCACATGAATAATCATTACAATAGTTTCTTGCCTTTATATATGTCATTGCAAAGGCTCAGAAAGCATTTCACATACAGTATAGGAGAAGATCCACATCATCTAGCACTGAAGTGTAAGAACCATATGGATGATGTGTGGGAGCAATATTAGGCCAGATATAGTCCCACTACACAACAGATCAGGTAGAGAAGTGAGAACAATTTAATTAAAGGGAACACTTGGGTGGGGGTAATGTAATACTGGGTCACAGGAGACCCAGAGTCTATCCTGGCAAGGAAAGGGGGCAAGGAAGGTTAGACCCTGAATTAGTAGCTAGTCCATCACAGGGCAATACATACAGAGATGTGAACATACTCACACCAGAGCCAGTTTTTCCAGGATATCATTAACCTACCCGTATGTTTTGGACACTCGAAGGAAACCCACACAAAAAAAAGGGTGAGGACATGCAAACGCCACACACATAGCACCCCAGAAAATTCCCTGGGAAATCACAGCCAGGGCCACAGTGCTGTGAGGAAACAATGCCACCCACTGGATCACCATGCTACCATAGACTGTGCTTGGGCAGAGAGGAAATTAGCAAGGACAAACAGTAAAAGGAAAAAGTGCACTTTCTAAAGCTGCCATTGGATCTGAAATGACCAAGTAGTCAGGACCTTGTTTTAAAACTTCATCTGAAGGATGGTACCTTCTACAGTATGGTGCCCCCTGTCCATGCTGGGGTACTGGTTTATAATTTCTGATCTGGAGGGAAGAGTATCACCTTTTTATCCACCAGCACCACCTTCAGCTGCATTTGTAGTTCTCTCATCCCATTATGTAACAGACAGACTCTTTGCACTCTTTCATCAAAGCAGGATAACTGAAATAAAATGAAAGTCCCACAGTGGCGTGCATTCAAAGGAAAGACATCCAGCTACGAATACATTAAACTGCAGTGAAAGCTGACCTCAGCAAAGCACTATGCAGACTCAGCCAGAACCCTCTCACTGACACTGTAGGCAAACTAAGAGCCAACAGCAAAACAGACAATGACTGCCAACAACTGCTCATCAGAGCCCTCCCAACCCTAACCTTAAAATATCTATTGTACCAAGTTTTGTTATATTTCACTTTTAATCTCATTTGGTTTCCCAATCTTTGGTGACAGAGGTATCCACTAAAATACTAAATTGTTGTATTTTGTTCACTAATTTCATTGTATAGTGGCTCACCGGGACTAATTTCTACTGTAAATTTGAATCTCTTGTGTTTTACACAGAAGTCAAAGCTGCAGAGATGATTGTGGGATCCAACTCATGCACTGTCAGAAGGACATCACCTACTGCACTAACAAGAAACGCAAGTTAGAAAGCTGTTGATGTTTTGTGGCTCTGCCGATTCTTGGTTGTGGCAACTAAGCTCATGCTAGTAGTTTCCCAAGCAGGTTTTCACAACCCTCACTTTGATTGCTGAATATCTGCATAAGCATAATGAGACATAAATGTCTGGCACTTTGTTTCCCCAGGAAATCTTCATTCAGCTAGTTTTCTGTTACAGCAACATTTTATCTGAATGAGTTTTCTAGTCAACTTGCAGAACAAGAACACAGAAAGAGAACCGGCCGCTTGTCACAGTTAGCTACATAATAGATCTTACAGACTACTAAGGGAATCACTACAATTTTCAGTCCTGTTCAGTCCAAATATGGCTGCAGCCTTCAAGAGAGATTTAATCTATTGAAAACACTCGGGTAAGCACAAGATCATCACTTCCCATCCCCAACTAGGGGTCCAACAGGACAAGTTACTGTAAGTACAGCAAGTACTGTACACACACTGTCATGATCAAATCAAATTAAATTAAATATTTACACACTTTAGATGAATCATTTGAGGGCAGGTCTATAGTATGTGCACCACATAAGCCTGCAGGTATAGCTGCTATTCTCAAAGTCATTTTCTGTGTAAACGGGATGTAAAAAAAAAACACAGAAACTCAGATTCCAGCCATTCATGGATTGCATGCTGCTTAACTGAGCAGATGAAAAACAGCAGAACTCTTTATTCATGTAAAGCATGTTGTATATCCTTGCCTGGATATTAGTACCTATCACATTTATTATTTCTAAAAACATCAGAACCACATCTAGATTTAAGGGTTATATTTTTGGCTACAAGATGTTTAATCTTTTCTGGTAACAAAATTATCGTTCAACAAAGGCTGCAAGGTGCTTAGTGATTTGCTACTACAGTTTTACACTGACCCAAAGCTAAAAAAGGGCTCTCAATGTATGAAAGTTGGAAAAAAACTTTAAAGGTAGACAATACAGGTACTTCAAAGATACAGAGACTATATTAAATAAGGAGATGAACCAATATGGTTTAACTTAGAACAAAATACTCTAAAGAAACAAGCCTGAAGAAAATGATCACTTTTCCCCATTTCCTATAGAAGATGTAAAATATTGGCTTCAATAACACTATTCTGTTTGGATAAAGGATCTTAAAAGTATATTTTGTCTATCCTGCAATACACAAACCTGAAATTTTCATTTTCTTTACAGAAATCAGTCTATTAAACTCAATTAAAGAAAAAAATATGCTAAATGGTCATGAATCAAGAGTCAACGAATTAAGCATTTAAAAGTTGTAGCAATAAACCGGAGGGTGTCAGGGTTTTGCATTGATGTCTCCACTGACCAGTTTCTTTCCCCTACCTTAAACAGTTGGAAGATTCACACTGCCCTGAATAGCACACTTGTCACATTAGATAGCTTTTCTTGACATTTCTATGATAAATTTAAAAGTTTTGCTTCAGTGTGTTATAACCACGTTTCTACTCTCCATGCAAAATCCTAAGAGAATTTCTTAAAGTTTAAACAGAAAACACATTCTTCCACTATACCTTAGTTTTGCATTTCCAACATATTCATGAAACAATTGAGCAAATTTTGGTTGGGTGCTAAAGGCTTAAATGTTAACCGATGTTCATAGTGATGCAGTGAATTATTTCTAACATCAACGATCTAAACAGACTGAGCAAAATGTATTTAGCTGCACACATACTCTATTTTGTTCAAAGGACTGATTAAATATAGATGAATGACAAGACAGTATCAACGGGTCTACTGGACACAAGTATTGAAAAAAATTAAACAGGGAACAGATCGCATTTAATATTCATGCTGTGAATCTACTGTAATTGACACGTCTTTGGATTTTCTGACCATTAATGTACATGACCTTCACCTGTATTTAATGCATAGTTTTTAAAAGAGAATTGCAACACTATTTTTATATTTTGGGGTTTGAAAGAATTAGCATTGATGAGTGCATTTCAAACCACAAGAAAAGTAAAATGCACACAGTAACTTGTAAAACCTCCAAATAACATCACAAAACACTTTCCTGGTATGCGCAGCAGAGCAAGGCAATAAAACGTCTGGTGATATGAAGCAATCCCATTACACTGTGAAGAAGCAGTCTTGTGAATTCATCTCTTTTAATCCAATAGAAATATTGCTCTCATCTTTAAGACAGTTTTGCCAATAAACACTTTACTTAACTCTGCATGCAGATCACACTGGAAACTTTCTGCAGTGAAATATCTGCTGCACAACTTGTACTTAATTCACTCTTAGATCACATTACATTAGTTATTACAGTGATTAGTGAGCAGAAGGGCTGTTTCACGTCACAATTCACGGGAATTCTTACTCTTGCCTGCGAAGGGGTTTGTGACAACATGGCAACTTACAGTACTTTTACAAAGTTAACAATTTTGTGCTTAATTGGAATAATATTTCCCTATATAAAAATGATTATTTTTTTACTGTGATTTAATAAATGGTCTGAGAAATTGGGACTGTAGTTCCCCTTTGAATAAGCTTAAATAGCAGTTACCTGTACTATCGATCCTGATGGACAGCTTTTAATCTTTATAAATTCACTTCTATTTGGATCAAAAATCTGACAGCATTTTAGATGTGCAATGTGAAAGTAAATTTTTGGAGTACATAAGTTTGCACATCATTTCTTTTCAAAAATTTATTTTAAATCTTGCACCTCAGAAAAAGTCTGGATGTGTACTGCACTTTATACTAAACAGTCTCAGGACCTTGGAATATGCAGATTACAGTCATACTGAAGTTATTTAAAGTACCATTAATTACTGACATAGGTGGCATGGGATAAAACATAAGATAATGCAACTACATCATGTAAAAAGAAATGCCGGAGGAAGAGAGAAAATGGATTTGAATTTGTGGAATTATTAAAACAAGTTAGTACACTAACATTTATTATGTGCAAAGAAAAAAAACATGCACATTCAGATAAGAGGGTGGCTGAGTAAATTATAACTAAAGGCCATGTCTCTATATTGTTCTGAGCAGGAGATCACGATGTCCGCTTCTTCTGGAACTGTTTTTTTGAAGGCAAATATTTATTCACAAAGAGACTTCCAAAATGAAAGTCAAATCTAAACATTTATCAATAAGTGAACAGTTAATCATTTTACAATGTTTTGTCCTGCTTTAAACAAAAAATAAATACTGGCTGTCTATTGGGAGCTTTGACAGACTTCTTCCAAGATTCTACCAAAGAGCCAGAGGTCCCCCTACCCAAAACAGGCATTCCTTTTTTCTTACCCAGTTCCTCTCCCCGTCCCCCCCACCCCCATACAGAAACTTCCTCAAAAAGTCTTTTGCTCCCTTGTTCTGTCATTTTTTTGTGAAGTCACAAAAACCACCCATATTTTGGCTTCAATACAGAGCTAAGCACTCAGTCCGTTTCCATGGAAACACTGCGGGATTCCTTAGACACCATAAATCTCATCAGTTTTCCGTGCAATTTTTCAATCTTCTTGACGTCTTGAGCCTGGTCAGTCTTGTACTGCAGACACTGAAACAACAAGGCACAACACCCATTAACAGAAGGCAAAAAAGAAAACAATACAAAGTACATCACGAGGGGAATAAAGGATTAGAAAATTAACTAAAGAAAATATCCATAAATTATTCCTATTTAGAAGCCAGTTTCCTTATTTTCCTCAAATATATACCACCATCTTTATTCACTGACTGTACACCTACCTAAACTGATTCTCTCCTTTCATAAAAGGAAAATCCTGACCAACAAGCACCTTGTTTTAGGACAACAAACCATGCTAAACTGTCAATTTTAATTGGAAAAAATAGAAATGTCTGCAGTGGTTACATCCCATTTAACATTATATTAAGCTGTAAACCCACCAACCTCATTTAACATTATATTAAGCTGTAAACCCACCAAAAATCTTTTCAAGATCTGCTTAGTTGAGCTTTAATTTATTCATCCTTCATATTCCAATCTTATAATCAGCTTTTATATTTTAGTCATATCAGCAGTGTAGAAATGAATTTGGCAGGTCACTGCCAAGTTCAGATTTCATTTCCTGTGTTGACTTGTATATCCCGTGTATCAGTACATAACAGCCATGATGTAATTGATGTACCCACTGAAAAACTGCAACAGAAAATTATCGTTTAGGATTTACTACAAAAAGTGGACGAGGGAGGCTATTTCTATATCGGAAGCAAAACATCTACATATACATTCTAGAAGGATTTTAACATCACTGGGTTTATAACTGACAACATGGGTAGTAGGAATTATTCATTCAATGACCGTTCTTCAAGGCTTGTTGTGAAGTTTCAGATGATTGACTGTCCATCTCTCATGATGTACAGGTGAAAAGTTCCAAGACAAGCTTTGTGCAAACTCCTTAGTCAGCACATTTCTGTCCAGTCAATATGCATCAGTATTCACTCAAACTGGATTACTTTATTTATTCTCCATATTATGACTGTACAGCTCAATTACTGCATAACTCTGCAACTGGGCTTCCTGCACAGCAGCCCACCACTGCCATCAGTGCTCTGTGACACACTGTAACAGTCACAGGCCTTAAGCATGGCTATACAATTAACTACAGAATTCTGGTTCTCAGTACACTTGTGGAATCAGATCATCTTGTATTCATGATTTCTGAGGGTTGTGCACATACTTACCACTGCATCATCTGTCACTTTCATACACAGATTGCCATCACAATGTCGATATTTGAGAACCACTCGAACCTAAAACACAACAGGCTGGGTTAGTGTCCAAAAGAACATGATCATGTATTAAACCATAAAAGAGAAAAAAAAGGTAACCGCATCACACTGATCTAAAACCTGTCAAACAATGCTCTAAATGCCTCTAACAACCCTGAAGGTCCTAACTAGAAATTAACCTTAGACAAGCTTGACTTTCCATATGGGGATGTCAAGAACACCAGATTTCAGTATGGCCAGCTCACTTGCTCACATAATTAGTTTTCGATACATTACTAACATTGTTACTTTCCCTGGTAGTCTCAGCTGAGGCAGATTAAAGGCCATTTTTGACCAGAACATTAGATAAACATTCCTTGATAGCCATGATTTAGAGATGGAAATGAAATGCAAATGAAATGACAGATCAAGTGAAGTCACTCTCGCTACTGACCAGTCACCAAACACAAGGAGCCTATGAAGACATTTTTAGGATGAACTATGCAGAAGTAAATAAACCCAATACTCTAGGTTTCCTTAGGATTCTGTTTCAGGATCTTGCAAGATGAGATCATCACTGCCATCTTGCATAAGGCACAGGACAGCACCACAAACATAACTTCCAGGCATACATCCTGTGCAGTGCAGTAGCTCTGTGGCTAAGGATCTGCACCCATGGCTAGAAGGCTGCTGGTTCAAATCCCACAGCCGGCAGAGGAATCCTACTCCGTTGGGCCCCTGAGCAAGGCCCTGAACCCCAGCTGCTTCACGGGCAGGGTATAAATGGCTAACCCTGCACTCTGACCCCAAGCTTCTCTCTCCCCACCTGCGTGTCTCATGGAGAGCAAGCTGGGTTATGCAAAAAGTCAAATTCCTAATGCAAGAATGTATGGCCAATAAAGTGATCTTGTTCTACTATCCATAGTGTTAGGAAATTACCAACATCTTGCCTCTGTACTCATGTATTTATTTTCTTTCCAATTAATGTTCACCAAGTAGGACTACAAAACCCTGAAAGTGATTTCACAATATCTTTGAAATACATAATAACAGCATTATATTTTTCTCATAAATAAAGGAAGGAAATATAAGATACTTAATAAAATTAAGCCTCTGATTACGGGTTCCAGTTTAAAATGCATAGAAAAGCTGTAGCTATTCACTGCAGTTGGGTGTTTTGTTACTACATGTAACACTAATAAGGGAATTAGCCGATATTTTGCACAAAGAGAAGCGACTAAGACAGAATCGGCCTCATAACTAAAGTAATGTAATCACTAGGTTCTTACCTTTTCAAATACTTAACTCTCAATGAAAAGCATAGAAGACAAACATACTGTGTGAGGAATCGTAGGAGTGTCCAACAGGGATTTTCTACACGGAGGAAAGGGGGTCTCAGAAACAATCGAGGGTTCCACAGAGACAAAAGGGCACTTCTCCCTCATATGTATAAATTCTTTTTAACTCTCCTACACAACAGATCTACTCAGATTGTGTTTAGCATGGATCTGTTGACCTGCAGCGATTACAATAAAATTGTTCATAATCATTCCAGGCGTCGTTTGCGTTTTATGTGTACATTGATGGTCGTTACTGAAAAGCTTATCTCGAGAAAGATCATACAGGCCTAAACATTGAAAGCAAACAGTGTACGGCATTGACCACAGCTGGGCAAATTACTGCCCATTATTAAATTCTTGGGAATGTCTTACCTTCATTGGATCTGTCAAATACAGCTTCTCTGCAGCTCTCGAAAATTCTTCCCAGGTCTGATAATAAGGCATACTGGAAAACAACCGAATAAAGAATAAACACAAAAAAAGATAGCTTATACCCTCTAAAAACAAAATTTTAAACACACATCAGCACTACAAGCTAGAAAAAGATGGTAGAAGTCCATATAAAAGCTCTTTCGGCATTGGTCGGATTTCGACCTGACCAATCACAGCGTTCTATATTTCACAGTGCCTCTCTGTTTCAATAGAGGGTTTTCTTTCAGGCCGCGCCATCTACTGGCCTGGGGGGCAATTTAATGCAGCACTGACAAAAAAGCTTGTACTCAGGCTGGTCTTGGAGAGTCACTGTACCCTAATACAAAATAAAATTCCTCAGTGTCTAAAGATTTGCAAAACATCATTATATCAGTAATCAAATTAAGTGAAATTATTCATATGTTTTCAGGTGGGATGAAAACCCATAACATACTGACTCAACACAAAGATGACTGAGTAGCTATCTCAGTGGGATATAAAACAAAATGAAAATAGTCTTCTTCCAGACGTCAATGAAATTGCTCAGGTTTTATAGAATGCTTGAACCTCTGGAACAGTTAGGCTGCATTCTGATTAAACTTTGACTTCAAGAGAAAGAAATGTAAAAAAAGGGTTGGTGTTTTACTGCGGATGACAGACTCCCCCCCCAAATGTTCCTGTTTCATAAATGGAATTTTCCGTTTTGTAAATGCCTTCATATTCTTATTTTTGGCACATTCCCTAATCTAGATGAAACCCTGTCACGTTCACCATTGTCATCACAGTTTAGCTATCCCGTCATATATAGCCTGCCAGAAATTATGATTGTGGCATTTATAGTCCATAGCTAGGGAAAAATAGGTGGTCCTGACAGGAGCTCCCTTTCCTACTGGGATACTGCAGACAATCACATTGACTTGGCCACCTTTGCTAGCATTTCATACATTCAGGCTCTGGCTTCTGTCAGCACCAGCTCTGAAGCTCTGAAAGCACCTCGTACACAGTTACACAGTGCTGCTTTTGGATTTTATGAGAGAGTAACTCAAAACATTTTAACACATACTGTACCAGATTAATACCAGAGTTCCTTCTGTACAGTATATTTTTGTACTTATTTTCTACATTTACTGTATCCTCTCATAAAAAGAATACAAAAAGACTTTGTAATTTTCTTTAATTATTATTAATTTGGATGATTTGTGTAAAAGCACCAAATAAAATATGATTAGGCTTATAAAACAGCCAATTTGCAATATATCTTGTCTGCTTTGTTTCGTACTTGTGCTTCATGACTTATGTGTTACTAAACCTGCATCCATATCTCTGCACTAGCTGGTTTTTCATTTATTCCCAACAGGATGCTGTGCTTAAAAACTTATTAAATGTGCTGTTCTGAAATAATTATTACAATTCCAGTGATTTTTGTTTTGGCATAACATTGCCATTCTTAATCTTTGAAGGAACAAGTAATAGGTTTATTCCATGCTGAAAACACAATGTTTCTGCCGTGGAGCTTTCGTCAGGTGTGATTCTTAATCTTCTGCAACCATGGAGCTAACAGATGTGGATACCTTAAGGTAAACATGCTTGTTCCCTTGTAATTTATTTCCAGCCTTCAATAAAGGTGTTTTATTTATCCATACTTTATCCAAAACAGACTCATGGGTGAGCTAGACCCTATCCCAACAGGTGCAAGACAGGGTACAACCTGGATGGGATGCCAGTTCATCGCAGGGCGATGACAAAGACAAAGACACGAACACACACACTCAAATAAGGAACTATTTTCCCAGAAACCAATTAACTTACCAGTATATCTTTGGATGGTGGGTGGAAACTGGAGAATCCCAATGAAACCTATGCAAACAAGGGGACAACATTCAAATTCCATACAGATAGCACCCCAGGAACTGAACCCAGTGCCCCGGCACTGCGAGGCAGCAGTGCTAACCACTGCACAGCTGTACCTCTCTATAATTGTGTTAATTGTTGTTTAATTTCATTATAATTCAGGGGTCTACAGCCCTGGTTACAGAAAGCCTCTATCCATCTTATACAGCAGATCACCTGTTTTTAAATGTTTACCATATGTGTAAGATACTGTATTAATCAAGCAAGTAATCAGTTCAATTAAGGAAATTCTGATCATTGAGGGCTGAAGAGTACTTAGATTTAGTCCTAAATGATCTATTTTTACTTAATACACAGTTTATTGACTACAATGGAATTTTGTCAATTTTTAGAAATTGGTGATTTAATATCATGACTTACAAAACCTAGATATGGGTTCTCCAGGATTCAGGGTTGAGCACTTTGCTATAAAACTTTATAGTCTTAAAGGTATTTCTTTAGGTTGCAGTTCTTGAAAATCTAGACATAATACACAAGAAACTTAATTAAACAGATACATAGATACAAATGAAATGTACAGTAACAGCAGTAAAACTATACATTCTGCAAGTGACAAAAAAACTAAATGTATATGCTGTGCTGCTATGATTTAAAAAGTGATCAAATTATTTCATGGCCTTGAAAACAAGTCATACAGTATATACAGTATATACACATCAAAGGAATGGAGTTGCTTTGGTCTTGAAGAGAACAGATTGCAAGTGGATGTGATTCATGTTTTCAAATTCCAGAACAATGCTGAAACAATTAACAAGCCAACATTTTCACAAGCCGCTAAACAGAAGAGGAAGCAGGTGTTGACCAAAGATGTACTGATGCTTCAGTGTCCAAGTATGAGTTGCTCATGATACCATCCACAAAGATGACTTCAATCAGTTGGAATGCTCCCCCTACAATCCAGACCTGACACTACTGTTTGTTCTGATTTCTGAAGGCACAACGTAAGTGTACTATGTTTACAGATCATGAAATCCTGAAAGCAGCCACTATTTTACTAGCACAGACAGTCTGACATAGATGTATGCCAATTGCCTTCGAGTCCAGGTGTGCTCTTCTGAGTAATGATACAATTCCAGTTGGAACCATTTTCAGTGTCTTCTTGAATAAGTTTATTGACCCTTTCCTGGGAAAAACCTCTGCATGTAACAGGGCAGGTTTGGGAAATAATACCTAACACTTATCCATTACACAGTGATATGTGGGTTGCAACAGTGAGTTTTATTCATTATCAACTGTCAGTTCAAATTTCAGTGGTCCAATAATCCCCTTTGCTTTCTCATTCTAGTGATGTCCGGTTTCATTGTCATATCTCCATGACTAAAGAAGAGATATTTATTCTATCTGACTGACCAACATTTTCTACTCCTTTGTGCAACCTGTCATTTACCTCTGCTCCAGACATTAACTAGAGTCAGACCTTGGCCAGCCTAAAGAAATGTGTATATGATGTGAATTTATGCATTTCATGTGTGTAGGTTGTATGTGTTTTCATGTGTAGGTTCAATTTATTGTCCTGTATCAATTTCTAAGAGTTTACAGTGTAAAGAGTGATATATAACATATATAGCGGTATACAACAACTAATGATAACAGAGAGTAGTGTTTGGGCCCTAATGTCATTCACATTATTGTCCATGAACATTAGATCATTTTGTATATTGCAAAAAGTCCTGTTGGTAACAATTATACCAGTTTTCTAATTAATTTGCTTAGAGATCTTGCAGTTTAATAATTTGATATGGGGAGAACTGTGTAGTTGGTATTTGTCGTATGATGTAGCCTAAATAAGCAAATAAGCCTAAATGCTTTTGTGGGCCACTGTATATACTTTAAAAGGACATCTCATGCAATTGAAAAGGGCAGCAACATACTAACTGTACATATGGACAAGATCACTTGTTGTGTTTTAAGGGACTACAGCCTAGTTCTTTTATATGTATTTATATTTGTATATTTACATTTATAAACATTGATATTTGTTTTCTACAAGCTCATACTTTGTTTTACTTTCTTTGTTTTTCTGTGCCTCTGCATTGTTTGTATCATTCCTGAGCATTAAGCAAACCATTGGGTTTGTTACGTTGGTCTGTTTCGGGACACTGCAAAGAGGAATCAAGTCGAGTCGCGTTATTGTTGACACTCCTTTTTCTGCTCTTTCTGTAGCAGACACAACCCTTTTAGAATGAAAGAATATCTTATACAGATCATTCCAAGTGAGCTCTAAATAGTGCATTGTATACCCTTAAAATAACTTCCTTTGATTTCAAGTCTACACATTTCACTGTCTGCACTATAGCAATGTGCTGGCCTTTTTATCACTTCCCCACAGTGGAGTCAATACCAACTTCGAAATCCCATTCAGAGCCAGCTTCCTTACATTCAGTTCCCTTTAATCTGATGAACAACATGCACATACTTTACTACTTACTACTTGCATGTTACACTTTGCGCAAGTGTAAATTAAATGTAATCTGCCAAGACTATCCAGTCTTAACAATTTTATCATGTTTTTTTTTGTACCTTTTCCGGTTCCAAAACAATGAAGTTTTTCCCACCTATTTTTGTGATATTTGCAGACAGGCTATGTCAGAGTCAAAACTCTTGAGGTAAATAAGGAGGAGTAACATTCCTCATTCAAGTACATTTGACCTCTGGAAACTACTCCATTATAAACATTACTCTAGTTATGGTGCTCTCTGTTTTCTGTGTTAATTAGTTTGCAGCTCACTCACATACATCACCTTTGATAGCTACAGCTTTCAATTTACATTTTACTTTTATTGTGGATGTTTAACATATACCTTTGGGCAATCTAAATATTTTATAGGGCAAGCTTTTATCATATAAATAATTTAATTATTTTAGTTACTTATGCCTCCCTAACATCATAATTATTGTATTGGATGGTAGAAATCAATTACCTATGGTTACTTGTCTTAATTGTGTACTGTATTGGACATTTGTGGATACACATTGAGTGGCTGTTGAATAATGCTTGTCTGTGAATATCATTCCTTAGTTTTAGTACAATAAGAAAAATGCCATTAGGCCTTTGTGATTTTTGTGTTGTTGTGTGAGTGGAAAATAAGCAATGCACTTAAGATTTTATAATACAATGGCACACATTGATGGGCAACAATAAAAAACTTTTAAAGTTTCTGATCTTTTCATGGTGAGCTTTGAAGCATCTGTGCTGGACTAACACATCCCCCCTAAATTTAGTGAACCAGAACATACAATTGTTGAAAAAA